CTCGACTGGCTGAAGAATGCGCAGACAGACTAGAGATAACCGGATGACCCCCGGAGGGCAGGCCGGAATCCACCCAAGTGCCCCCTCCCCCCCGGATGGAGGGCTGAAGACTCAGAAGAATAAGATAACACTCAAACATTCAGCCATCAGGGATGTGCCACTTGCTAATTGATAATCACCTCAAACAAACATCAGCAGGATGAAGCAATTCCCATAGACTTGTATAAGGACAAAATCCTATAAGAACAGACTCTAAAGACGGAAAACTTTTGAGTCTGGTTCTGCAACCACCCTCCAGGAGCATCGGATGCGCATCTGACAAGGACTCAGCTCCACCCTCATGTGCAGGCTACCTGGCTAGTGCTCTGCCACGAGCAACCTCTAGGCTGGTAACTATAACAACTCTGCAGAGCTTGTATGAATGAGTGTGTGAATGAATAAGGAATGGTAGTGAAATAACATTAAATTGCATATCCTGATTTCTCGCTCTCTCTCTGTATTTACAATAAACCTGGCATTTTTGCCTCAGCCCTCTGATAAGATCCTGTTGGTATTATTTTATTAGTGTAACAGTATCAGCAAAAACAACAGGGTTTAGCCCACGAAAGCTTATACCCAAATTAAATGTGTTAGTCTCTAAAATCCCAAACAAGCTCAGCACAGGCTGCTCCACACTGAGCTGTCAGTGTGCCTCAAAAGGATCGCTGGGAGAGGGCTCATCATTCTCAATGCTCCTTCAGTACGGGGTTGCTCTCCTGGGATGGCCAACAATGCTGCCATTAGGACTAATGCTTTCGAGAACTCCTATTTATTTTTGGTATGTCTATACTTACCTCCAGGTTCGGCGGTAAGCAAATCGATCTTCTGGGATCGATTTATCGCGTCTTGTCTAGACGCGATAAATCGATCCCGGAAGTGCTCTCCATCCACACCGGTACTCCTGCTCCGCGAGAGGAGTAGGCGGAGTCGACGGGGGAGCCTGCCTGCCACGTGTGGACCTTTGGTAAGTACCTTTAAGTTCGAACTAAGGTACTTCGACTTCAGCTACGTTATTCACGTAGCTGAAGTTGCGTATCTTAGTTCGAACTGGGGGGTTAGTGTGGACCAGCCCTCCGGCAAGCTTTGGATCAGGCCCTTGGTGATGTGGACACCTGTCCAAATAAGAACAGGCCGCTAAGCTTTCAGGGAGCCTAGCCCGCACTCCTGCAAACCCTGATGCACATGCTTAGCTTTACTCCTGTAAGCAGCCCCATTGAAATTGGGACCCTAGAAGTTAAAGGCTCTGTAATTCATTGTCAGCACCCTGAGCCATCCATAGCTGAGAAATTTGGCCAGTTATGTTGCAGCACGTAGCCCAATAGGACCTAAAAAGAAAATCTGTTCGGAAAACAGACTTTTCTCCCTCCTGCTGTTCGTGGAGAGCTAAAGTCATGTCAGAGAGGTCACACTGACTTGTTTTTAGTCTCTAATAATTCTCACTCGGATTGATTTGAAATAACCATCCTCAGCTCAATATTGAAACCAGCAAGAGACAGCCTCAAAGGAAGAAGCGTCCATGTGGCAGCTTGTGCATCCAGGTGACTGATCAGAATCCTGGCAGAAAGACAAGTGGCTTGAACCCAGGCAGGTAGAGGAAACAAAAGGGCATTTGTGCTGCTCTAACGTTAACTGGTTCAGTGCTGCCTTGCTAAAGACTACACCTTAAAAAGTCATTCGGGATCTGAAATTAGTACAGCAGCTGGCTGCCTACTGACTAGATGGCATCCCTCATAGGGAGGGCATTGAACCTGTAGCTGCCAACCGATAACCTTCAAATTTGCCTCCTCCCCTGTGCAATGCCTCTGCAGATGTGATCAGCTCAGCTTTGTAAAACGCCAGCTCCCTCATTGAATGGGAGGGGCCTGGTGGCAGGACACTGCCTTGGGCATTCATTTAGATCTAGTTTGTTTCCCATGCATTTACGGATGACTGTAGAGGAGCCAGGGCTCCAATAGACACTTATTAAACATTTAAATAAACAAATTGGCTCCTTGCACTAGGGAAAACATACACACCTGATGCTTCCCCTGACATCCCTACTGAAATGCCAATGTTTCAACTGAATGCTGGGGCCAAAAAGATATTCCAGCCTCTACAGAGAATGACTGCAAGGTTAATTTTTTTCATTCTTCCACTTCCCCGCTCCTGTGGTACCTCCCCTTTCTCAAATATTTGATTTGGAGTTTGGAGGTTCACTAACATAATTCCTTTGGAAGTGGCCTAATAGCCCTGCCACAATTCTCTGCTCTCGTTTCCAGAACAAGGGGAAAAGATTAGGAGCCTGATCCAAAGGCCACTGAAGTCACCTGCCACCACATGGAATCCACAGCCCTGAGCTGGGCACCCAGGTTCCCACTACAATGCATGGGGAGAGTTAGACGTCTAAGGAAGGGATCCTCAGAAGTCAGCCAGCTAAGCTGCTAATCAGCAGCGAAATGCCAAGGGCAGTGAGCGGGGTGGGGAGAAAAAAGGGGTTTAGGCTCCTAGGTGGCTGACCGGCCAGAGACGCACTTCCCTTCGTTCAGGATCCTCAACCACAAATCCTTCCTGGAGATCGGCACCTAGAGCTGATCTGGCTTAGGCAGGCCGCACCCTAGGAGACGAAAGCATCTTTGTCTCCTGCTCATGCCTGGTAGCTCTCTCACACTTGCCTTTGTTTCCCTGTGCCTCCAGCTGTCTTTTGTACAGGTTCTGTGCTGCTCCCTTCCCCCACCATCATCTATCAGCAGGTCGCAGGGTTGTGCTGGCCGCCGCTTCCCGTACTTCCCATTGGCCAGGACCGGCGAACTGCGGCCACTGGGAGCTGAAGGGGATGGTGCAGCCGGGCAGTCAACGTAAACAAAATGTCTCGTGGCCCGCCAGCAGATTACCCTGACGGGCCACGTGCCGAAAATTGCCGACCTCTGACTTAAACTCTATTCTGAGAACTTAAGTGGTGCATAGGCTATAGCTACCTATCGGAGCATTTTATTCTGCCACCCACCATGTTAGTATCTGAGTTCCTTCCATGTACAATCAATAGCAACTGCAAAGTCTCCAGACTTCTTGAGTCTCTGGGACTTCTCCCTTTCTGGGAACAAAATCCTTTGGGGGGCAGGTTTTGCGTTGGTCAGGAGTCAGGTGTAGAAGGGGGTTGTCAGCGGCGCAAATATCTTTCTTACGGCGGAAAGACTTTGCCTGCCCTCTGCATAGGAGTGAATTTAACTATGGGTGCCTAATTTTAGGTATCCACATTTGGAAGCATTAGCCTTACTCGGTCTTCAACTTGGCTAGCCACTCTTTAAGCTGTGTCTGACAATACCTATCAGTCTTATAGGGGGTAGAAGTGCTGGTAAGCTTACCTGCTGTTTGAAAGGGGATCCAAGTTCCTTAAATGAAAGGAATTATGGATGGTTAAAGTATCATTCTCCTGGGAACGGCCTTTATTTTTTTTTCGTGGAGATTCAACAGAAGCAACAGGCTGTGGCTGTTTAGAAAACCAGGAAGTAAAGTGTAAAACGGTCACACATTAACGCAGCAAAGAGATACTGCTGCTTGCAAAATTATTATTAGGATGCTATTTAATGAAATAGTAGAATCTGGCCACACAATCCAGCCATCTGCTCTTCCAGCACTTCATTAGAAAAACTCCAGTTACCTCCCAAAACTCTGCTAGTCAGAGCAGGAGCCTTTCTGCAGAGGATGCATTGCCTCATCCGCTCATTCATGCCTTTCTTGCTTCTGGGATGGATTACTTTAAGCCTTTACTATCAGCCATGCCTGGTTGCCTGCTAAACTGGATGCAGGTGGCATTCAGCATTGCCATCAGCCTTGTTAACAGGACTTGATTTACAGCTCATAATTTCCAAGTCTTGTTTTACAGCCTCTGTGTTGGCTGCTTCTCACAGGGAGAGAGAGAGAGAGAGAGAGAGAGAGAGAGAGAGTAGTT